TGTCAACTGCAATTAATCATTTTATCCTATTATTTTAGCAACCATGTAGGAAGCTTCTATTAAATTACTTATGCACAATAACAGATTAAATATTTATTGGTGTGTTTTATTTGCACAAACTGATTGATATAGTTTATATGATTTACCACGGTTTCAAGCATCACAATCTAAATATTGTGCATCTGAATGGTTTCGTATTGGCTGTCTTCAAATCCTGCTTTTAAATAAGAATTGCAACTTTGCTCAGACTTTTTTTTATTTAGATAGTGATTTATGTGATTGCCCAGCTCAAATTAATAATTTTGGGCTATTTTCCTCTTCTGATTAAGCATGCACAATGTAAACAAGTGCTCTTGGAGAGTTATGCCTTCCCTGTTATTTTTTTTAATTATAAGTATTAAAGACCATATATAGATTTGTCAAGGTAAATATTGAGGTAAATTTAACACTGCTCTCTTATCTGAAAAAAAGTAAGGCATGCTAATCTCACTATTTCCTCAATTACCGTATTTATCGGCGTATAACACGCACAGGCGTATAACACGCATCTTCATTTTAAGAGGGAAATTTCAGGAAAGCGCCCGTTTCACCCCCACTCCCACCCCCCGCGCGCGCTTCAATCCACAGTGTCCCATTCTGCCTGCCTGCCTGCCTGCCTTAGTTTCTGGTTGTTTGGGAGCAGCTTCGGCTGAGAATAATAACTATTCGCCTCTTTTACTCAGCCGAAGCTGTTCCGATTCAACCATTAACGAAGGCAGGCAGGCAGGCAGAACGGAGCACTGCGGGCGGGCGGGCGGGCGGGCGGGGTGGGGGTGGGGGAGAAACGGGCGCTTCAGGGAAGCCCCCCCCCCCCGCTTCTTTGAAGCAGTTTCTTCCTGTGCTGGTGGAGGAGCGAGAGAGCGACTGACAGAGCTGACCCAGAGAGAAGGACAGGCTTCGGTTGCTTCCTCCCTCCCCTTCTTTCATTTGTGTCCTTGATCCCCGATCCCAGCAGCATTCACCGAAGGCTTCTTAACATTATATCGGCGTATAACACGCATACATCATTTGCCCCCTATTTTCAGGGGGAAAAAAGTGCGTGTTATACGCCGATAAATACGGTAATTATTTAGAACTCAGAAAGATATACTTTGATAATTATCTCCAAAACACGGGTTAGTTTTGAGTGAAAATAATTGATAGAAGATCACCAACTAAAATTCAAATGGATGAGAAACTTGAATTTAACTTTCTATGGTCCTGGTTTGAAACTAATCAGAATGCCACTCTGATTCTCGAAGAAAATTCTTTAGTATCTCCGAGGCCTCTTAAGAAGCTTTTCAATGACAACACCGAAAGTATTCGGGAGATAGAACATTTACAAGAAATAGACCACTACAAAACCATACAATTAATAATATTATTGAACAGAACAACTATTTCTTTCAGAAAAGAAAAGTTTTAAGACTTTATTTTCAGTGTTTATCAAGCATAACAAAACATTGACCTTTGGAATACTGTTCTAGTGTCTGATCACATAGTGCATTCTTTAATACTCTATACAATTTGCTATGACTCAAAAGGGGAAAAACACCTTAGTTATCCAGATTAGTCTCAGATATTAGACATTAATGTAACTTTCCAAATACAGATAGTTTGCCAAATATGAAATACATTATTGCAAAAAAAGAAAAATTACTTATGAAACATTTAGTGCAAGTACACTTGTACATTTGGTACATTTATCTTGCAGAGCACAGCTTGAAAGTAATAGACCATGAACATCCAATATTATATTCAAGATTTGCTTTCTTTTTCTAAATAATATCTTATTTAATAAGAATTTTATTTCCTCTTTACATATATATTCTGTTTAATTTTTGTTTGCAGATTTTGACTGAAATGAGGAGCAGTTTTTCTGCTTACCATTTATATTTATATCCCATCTTTATTATTTTTATAAATAACTCAAGGTGGCTAACTACTGAATACTCCTTTTTCCTATTTTCCCCATAACAACAATCTTATGAGATGGATTGAACTGAGAAAAGAGTGACTGGTCTAGTCACCTAGCTGGCTTTCATATCTAAGTGGGATTAGAACTCATTGTCTTGATTTCTAGCATGATGCCTTAATCACTAATTGCATAAGAAGTTGCCTTTGAGCAGGTGAAAACTATTTCTCCATTTGCCCTCTTTTAAGTTTTCTAATTGGAAGCAGCAATTCAAGTTCTCGGGTAGCCTTTTTTGAGCATCTGAATCTTCTAACTGGCGATAACAGTGTATCAGTGATATCAATGGCTTTGGTAGGCAAAAAAACAACACCATGCTCTCACTGGACATTGCTTCCTGTGTCTCAAGAGTGAAGGTTCAAAGACTAAGGCAAATATACCAGCTTTAGGACCTAAGCAACAGATACTGGTCTGATTATTAATTATCAAAAATCAAAACTTATGACCTAATATAAATATTCATGGCAAATTAATCGGAATGTTATAGAACAGGTTCAGTCTTTTCAATATTTCAGAACAGTTATTGACATGCACTTCAAGGCCCGAATTCAGTTTTTAAAAGAGAAGGTAAAAAGGAGTGCAGCAGCTATCTTAAGGCTTTTTTTTTAATGAAAGGAGGTAATCATACACCAAGCTGACTAGAAGTGTTTGTGATCAAAGCAATAATGCAGCTAATTTACAACTTTCAAATCTGCCTAGATCATAGCACTATTCAATCAGCTATTCCAAGAGACACATTTTGGGTTTCATGATGCATTCCAAACATAGACCAAGAAAGAAATGGGTCAAGCATATGTTAGTTATTGGCTTAAATTAATTCTCAACCCAAGAGGTTTGGCTATTCTCTTAAAATAAATTCCATGAACTTTCCCCTAGTGCATTGATCTTAATAATTTTTAAAAGGACAATTATTAAGCAACATGCCAAAAAAAATTCCAGAATGATTTCATCCAGATCCACCTTATTATGTACCAATGAATCTCTAAAAAGTATTGCACCTGTTTAATATTACCTTTTGGTATATATTTCTCAATTACAACAATATTTAGCTAAGATTGAAGATGATTACGTCAGCCTATTAATTAATCAGGAGGCAAAGATGTTAACTAGCATAGCCAGATTCAATATGCTATGACAGAAATAAACAACTGCTTCAAAAAGGATGAATCCAAATATACTGTATATCATATTTAGTTGATATTGAGGTACTTATTTTTATGGTCTATGATAAAACTAATAGATTATAGATCTAAACCAAGGGTGTATTTCCTCATGAAAAGGAATCTGGATTGGGCATTTGGTAAATGTGAGGTATGGTGCAGCTAAAAAGAGAGTCAGATCTAGTTAATACTTGGATGGGGATCACTGTGCAATTCTAGGGTGGTAGCTAGATTGAAAAACTGGAAATACAGTTTGGCATGAAGGCAAAGACATTCTACTTTCACTGATATTTAAATAGCAGTAGGCCATGGCTATGTAGGCCCTTAGAAACAGGGCACGGGAACTTTTTCCTTTATATATTGGACACTTCTCTATAATCCCAGTATTTTGGTAGAAAGTATGTGCCTTGAGTTTTCAAATCCCCAAAATTAATGGGTTTTGCTACATATAACTAACAATTTATTATAGCAGCCAGGACCAATTTGTTTCCAACAATATTGCAAATTAAAAATCCACCAGAATGTATTATTAAGTAGCCATTCATGATTCTCACTGAGCTATATAGAGGCATACTGTTCAGCTGCAATTAGTACATTTGCTAGATACAAATAATTTTACAATGAATTCATATGAGAGATAAGGCAATTTCAACAATTTTACTTTAGTATTTACAAAACAAAGTCCAGAACAGTCATATTTTTAGTAAATGGCTGATCAAAAAGACATTGATTAGCTTTAATTAAAATAAAGTTTCATAGAATTTGAGAAGAAACATATATTTTTGGCATAAATGAATATACATTTATCAACTTTTTTTCGAAAAAAATTCAATTACATATAACACTGGCAAAGCTCTTACTTTATGTCTGCTATTGTTTCATACAATAATGAAATAGGTGTATATGTATGAGAGAGACAGACAAAATATGCCAATAGAATCTTAATAAATATGCAAACTGACACATCAAAGATTTTGAGATACCTGTCCTATGACTTAATATTTTCTAGCTGCCATTTAAATTCTTGATTTACTAATTAAAATGGTGATAGGTCCAAATTTGGTTTAAAAGGGAGACAATGGAATTTTTTTTTTCATTTTAAAAACACTAGGAATTGCCAACTTAATATTGAAGCATGTTGGAAAAAATCATATATATTTACTTCAGATATCCATTTTATACCGTAAGTTTGACCATGGAGACTGAAATACAGTCATTTCAGAATCTCGCCTGAAGGAGATTAGATTAGTGCTGTCATACACAATCTATTCATCCTCAATGTCAATATGTTTATGTTCTACAGTACTTTTGTTTTAATGAGATAGTTATGAAGGCAAACACAAATGTTTATAGTATAATCTTCAAGATTTCACATGCTTTACACATATATGAGGCATCAATCCAAAGCTAAAATACATCAATCCTAGTATATTTTCCTTTTTTTGAACTTTTCTATAATTACAAATGTACAATCTAACTACAGACTGTTGTAATCTATACCAGAAGCTATATTACTGCTGAAATCTGTGAACATCTCTAAATTAAATGCTAATATGTGAACTGGGAGAATGACAGGATTAAAATCCTATGGCAGAGGATTGATTTGCACCCAATACACGGTAGCTCTATTATTGTGAATGCAATGTCTACCTGATTTCATACGGTAGTTAGCTGAACATAATGACATCAGTCTTAAGAAAGTTATGGCATCAAATCAAAGATTCATCAGTGGTATAGTCCTATAAATACGTTTCTCATCTCCACATTTCTAAGACTCCAGTGGGTCCATTTTTATACAGATTCAGTGACAGAATATACAATAACTAACTCCATAAATGAATGCACAGAAGAAATAGTAACATATTTAGATTTGTTTTTACATTTTCACTACTTGTACAGTCAAAACAATCTTAATACATAATTCACAGTCTAAAAAATCTGTGGCCCCTATTGGTCCACATTACACTTATTAAGCCTCCAAATAAATATGATGTAAAAACAGATACAGAATTCATTTTCTAAGTTCATTAACAGAGCTAAAATTGTGTAACTTAAATGGTTACAAATAATGAACCCCATTACTGTAGCTGTGGGGGGGGGGGGGGGAATGGCTATTCTGCAAAGAAATTGAAGGGGGAGCAAGAAACATTGCTTCTGCCAGTGAAAACTATAATGCAACACAAATGGCAGCATAAGAAAAAGACAGCAAGAAAGTTCATTTCTAAAATGCTACAATATCACAAACACATCCCTCTCACCACTGTTCCCCTCCCCCCCCTCACATACAATAATATAGATCGTTTAAGGCAGAAGAGAGGCATTCTGTGGATCTTGGTGCTGGATGGTTCATCACACGCTCATGGTTTCAGTGGTAGAAGAAGAGGTACATTTTTTCCTGAAACGAGGTCTAAGACTCCTAGGCGGTGCCTGCCAAAAGCATAACAAAAAAAAAAAAAAAGATTATTCCAAGCATACAATTTGAACAAAACAACTTAATGTAAGTATTTAGCAAGTATGAATAATCAACTCTTAAAAAGCAACCTTGATTTTCAGAAAAATAGGCTGAGCAAAAGTTACTCTTGGTACAAACACAATCCACTGCTCTGATACAAATGCAAAGCACCCAATAGGACTGTAAGATCTATAAATCATTCTAGCCAACTTATTATTCTAACCAATATGGGCACTGGAAGTTGCAGTCCTGTGTGGTTGGAGAAAGCTGATTAAAGATATTGCGTTTAACATAATGTTACATTGTTTACATTTACTGTGTATTTGTTGGTATTATTTTTATCCTGCCTTTTCTCCAGGAGTTCTCCAGAACAGCAACCCTTTATTCCCACACAGCAAACTCAAAAATAGTTTTAGATGAGGGTAGGTGACTGGCCCAAAGTTTACTCCATTTGTTCCTGTGGCTGATTTGAACCTGTATCTCCCTAGGGTTATGTTAGTGCCTTATCTACTATTCCACAATATTCCCATTGCAGTGCCAATTTAGATTTTCAGTGATAGCTTGAAACACACACATGAAACACATAGCAACACACAGTTCAAACTTAATAGATTGGCAGTTTATAGCTACACAATGAAACATTAAATAGTTCAGCATGCTTTACTACCAAACTGGACTTTTCCTGTGACCAAATGTTCTTTTTAATCTAAATCAACATTCTTACATCTGCTCCGCTGGAGGACACAGTCAACCGTAAGCCACATAATGAATATGCCTGTTGCTATGGTTCTTGTACAGTCAAAACTGGAACATATCTTTTTAGATCTCCAAAAGTCCACTACAGAATCTGTTCTCTCCATAACTACATTTTTCTGGAACTCAGAAGCCTGTTATGTTTCACTCAATATGTCAGATTGATTACAGCCTCATCAAAGAGAAAAATATTAGCCATTGCTGCTTTCTAATGTTTAACATCATATTTTATTCTAACACTGTAGTCTGCAGTTTAAGGTATTTAAAAAGATATGGTTGTCAGAGTTAAAAATATGGCATGTAAGAAAATAAGCTGACAAGTGCAGTACTTTCATAACGTCTGAATAGTATTGCTCATTTTTATTTTAAATAGTATTAATAATTGATGTGATTCAATGGTCTAGATTAAATATTAAATTGAAACAGCATTTTCTGGCTTATAATGATGGTTTTCCAATCATACAGGTTTCATAAATAATACACCTATTTTCTAAACCTTTCCCTACTTTAACTATGAGGTCATGCTACTTTCATAACAAAGAAAGACATTCTAGCTGAGGAAAGAATTGTCTGCCACTATCCAAAACTAAGAAACAAACCACAGAAGTCCTACAAAAAGAATATGTTATTACGAGTAAGTGTGGCTTTAAAGCCTATTTCCAATATGGAAGTACCTCAATGATTGGGTCCTTTGGGGGAAAACTTTTAGGCTTGGATGTGCTATCCAATGAGGCATTCCCTTCATCCTCTGACAATACAATGTCAGTTGGTTTAGAGTTTGCTTCGAGTGGCCTTTCATTCTTTGTCTCACCATCTAGTTGAACCACTAATTTAATATCTAAATAATGAAGAGAAACAGGACATGGAAGGTCACAGAAGGTGGTCACCAAACTGACTTTCAGCAAGCCATTGTCCAGGCCATGCTTTCTCCAGAGATAATATGGAGCAAATTACATAATGTGATTTATCAATCATTTAAGCTGTCTTCTGTTTAGTGGTTAGTTGGTTTAGTTATTAAAAGGCTTTAACTCCAACTCACATAATCTCTAGGAAAAATGATTTACTCATTGAATGGCAGGAGTCCCCAACTTTTTTTGCCACTTGTTGCCACAAATGTTGGCACACTTGTAAATTTGATAAAATATCATGAGAATAACTGCCAGCAAGTTGATGGAGAATGTTCCCTCCTACCCTCTGTAGCTCTCCAAGCAGAGGTGGTATTCATCAGATTCTGACCAGTTCTGGACAACCGGTAGCGGAAATTTTGAGTAGTTCAGAGAACTGGCAAATACCACCTCTGACTGGAGATTTTAAAGTATCCTTCCCCTGCCATGCCCACCAAGCCACGCCCACAGAACCTGTGGTAAAAAAAATTGAATCCCACCACTGCCCAAGCTATCTTTTTTTTTCCTGGAGAAGTCTGCATGTTTAAAAACAAGAAGTGGGCTGCAGCACTGAACCATTTCCAGACAAGTTGTAGCAGCTTGTTGGTTCCTCCTTCCCTCCCTTATTCAACCCCTACTACTCTGCCTCAACTATGTTTGTTGAAGCCACAAGGCTGGAGAAAACCTGCAAGCCAGAGGGGCCAATCCTCTTCCCTCATTATTTGTATACTTCCCCAGGAACACGCTAGAACACATAATGTCATCTCTACTGATTAAAGCAATTATTTTGTTTTCCTTGCAACATAAATATGTGATGAACATGATAAAGCAAACTTATAAAGAATTATGAACAACTTACAAAGCATTATAAAGAACATTGCTGTCTATAGCTATACAAAGCCAGGCCCAATAAAATCTCATACATTTTGTTATTTAGTTAAGTTACAATATATCTAGACCAGGGGTGTCAAACTCACGTCGTCACAGAGGCGTCACGTGAGGTATTGGGACTTTCCCCCTTTGCTAAACTGGGCATGGGCGTGGCCAGGCGTGATGCATCTGGCCCACGGACCAGGAGTTTGACAGCCCTGATCTAGGCAAATTTGGCACATTTCAATTAGTCAATAGTACATATTAGATTTTGTCAATGTTTGAATGCATGCCTTATAGAAACAATATTGTAGATATCCTGATTGGAAGAAAAACTAAATATGTGTATTTACAGTCATTCTACTGCTAATCAAACTAGAAAACAAAGATTATTTATACCACGTGCAATAATTGCATATATGTATGCATACTATATATTATAAGTAAAGAGTAAGCATTTCTTAGTTATATAATGCATTCTTACGCATTCCTGTTTGGAAATTACTCGTACAATCAATAGCACTTACATCAGAGTCCCAAAATAGGTATATGGAGAAGGAAAGAAAAACAATAAAAATAATGAACAAGAAAGCATTTGCTAGCATATGTAGCCATATTCCTTTGCTCAAAGATTTTTGAGCAATGCATTAATGTTTCAATAGTATTAAAATATTTAAACATTATTCAGTTTATTAATTTAGATATAGAAAATATATAGTGTGATAATTATCCTAAATAACTTTATATAATTTTAAATAACATAAAATGCCAAAGACTTATGAAGCAAATATTCAATGCAAGAATCATAAGAGCACAAAAAATGTCACTTAAAAATAATTCTAAATTGTAAAACCACCATAAATATTCGGTTGATAATAAATACAAACAGCACATAGCTGAATTTGTCCTTATCAGACAACACAAGCAGATGCTGAAATGTTCCTAATTAACACTTTTTCCCCTTTTCAGTTGATTACAGAGGACAAGTTATCTTTAAAACAGGGATGAGGAATCTGTGGCCCTCCAAATGTTATTGGAAATATCCAGCAACCTAAAGTAGAATTAATGACTTGTGGTGAGAACTAGTAAGAACTAGTATCAACATTTAGAAGGCTGCAAATCCCCAATTTCTACCTCTAACTCTCCACAAGTCATTTTTGGCTCTCAATCCCCCTATATTATAGGACTTTTTGTTTTCATAGGGGATTAAGGATTAAGATTTACAACCCACTGCACTCCTTACAGAATCTGACCACCCCAAATCAAGCTGAATTTCTCCCAGCGGAGGTTAAAGAGGAAATAGAAGGCTTCTGGCATTCTGATCATTAAAATCCCCTCCCCGATTGCATGTCCCTTACTATACTGGACTAAAATGATACATTCTCCCTATTTTACTAATAACAAATATGGAGCACAGGGCTTGTATTCAAAGGAAAACAAAGGCATGGCACACACTTGAAACAAAGTCATTCAAAGAAGCAAACCAAACAGAAAAAGAGATGTAAGCAACTGGAATTTGAACCCCATGCAAAGCAGACTACTCCATGAAAAGACCTAGCATAACCATTTTATAATAGGCATCATTTCAGTTGAATTATATAACAATTTATATTTATTATAAAAATAGAATAAGTGTATTATTTTGCAATTATACATGTGTTATATGTTACATATGTACCGGTACACACCCATACACAAACACAAACAGAAGCAAGATTTCATTTGTTAGAATTGGTACAGTTCCCCACACTACAAGTTGGCATTGACTTCTGGCTCGTGTTTTTCTCCAATGCATGTGGAGAACGGGCTAAGTGGGAGATAGCCATATTGGTATATGATGAAGTATCAATATCAATGCCAATATTTTATGACCAGAGAGTTTCATCTTTTCCCTCACTGAGTTATTCTTCTAATCTTGAATGTCAGCTAAAAAAAACACTGCTGCTTAACAACTGGACATTCAGTTTTGTCCAGCAATTAAATTCTTCCTTCATCAGAGTTTCCAGGAACCAATGGCATTCAGATCTGTTTATCTCATTTCCACCATATTCATTTTGGGCCTGACATTATTCCCCCTATTATTTTCAACTGGAAAAGATAAAAAAGGAGTTAACTGATTAAAGTGGTAACTCCCTGGAAATAAGAAAAGAGGCTTTTAAGAAAAGGATTCATGCAATTTTTGGTTCCACTGACTGTCCTAATTTAGCCTGTTAGTTAGTCAAGATTTCCCCATTCCTGTCCAAAATCATATTTTCTTAATACGAGTTCTTCGATATGCTGTTTCAGCAATGGCAGCATCTGGCTAAGTTTGTTTGAGCCAATAATTTACTTCTTGCTTTTGGCAAAATTTCACTCATAGCAAACAATGAATTCAAATTTATGGCTGCCACATTCATTTAACGACCACCATACAAAAATGTAAAATCAGATTGATCATGTGATGGACCCATTTTATGAGCATTGCAAGTTGTGACTGTAATAGGCAGGCTTCCTTATGATCATAACTCAAGGACTATTAGTATCAAGAGACAACCTAGCAAGTCAACTTGATTTAGGATTTCTTTGAAAAACATGCTTTTGGAGATTACATTTATTAACTAAAGTTACCCTTTTTTATTCAGTGAGAATCACATCAAAGCAAATCCTACATTTCAATTTTAAATGTCTAAATACCTAATGTTGTTAGTCAAAACATGTGTGCAAAAAGAGCATTTCTCAACCAGCATTGCAGACTGGTAGTGTAGCTCACAGGTAGCTATCTAAACCACACCAGCAACCATTTAGGACTGAATTGTTAATATTAGGATACAATATTATAAATATTATGATTCAGATATAAATATAAGCTGCAAGAATTAATGTTTATTAAAGACATACAGATTGCATAAAAATAATCCATACTCACCTTGCACAATATGACAAACTGAACAACATGTATATTCTGAAAAAAGAGCCACATATTTTTTAAAAAATATTTTTCATTTGTGGAGTACTTGGTGCTTTCTGAGCTTTGTTTAGCTGCAGACATTTCATTCTCCAATGCTTATACCATCAATGCAAGCGAGTATGGATTTTTCTCCCTATTTATATACAGTAATTTGCTCTGCTAATTTTGGTGGGATTATAGTTTTGTTTATTAGGGTATTGTCTTCTGCTTGATGTTTGTGTGATGTTGATTCCTATTTATCCAGATATTGGCTACTGCAGAGATATATTCTGGTCTCCCCCCCCACCCACCTTTTAAAAAAAACTTTTTATTGTCTCTTGGTTTTTAAATACATGTAATGATATGTGGGAATGACCTTGAAAGGGCAATGAGATACCATTAGTTAACAGACAATTTATCATGCAGCAAAAGTGTAGATGGGCAAGAAGTTCAGAAGAGTTCCCTAGTTTTGGGGACTGTAAAAGTGATAGAAGTACTTTTAGACTTGCAGGATTCTGTTAATGTAACTTTGTATTTCCTATGAGGTCTCCGTAGTAAGGCTGATATCAATCTTGTAAGTCTCATAATATCTTTCAAAGACATTTTTTGGAATGGCCTCTGATCCCCAAGAAATTTCACCATCCACCAAGCACCGTGAGCAGCATTGTTGCAACACCAGCAATTTTCAAAATGTCATTATATAATTAACTCGATAGCTGGGGTAGTATTTACTTCCAGCTGCAACAGCACATGCGGAATGGTGTACTTTCCCACTGAATGCACCTAAGTAAGTTTACTAAAGGAAGCAGTGGGCAAATGAGCAATACCATTCATTATGAGGAATGTTCTAGTGCTGGACAACTACTAGGATTTCATGCACAAATTCAAAGGACACTTTGGGGATTCCATATAACACATCATTGCTAGTCGAGAGATCCAAAAGCTGAAGTGGGGAGACAGAAAAAATAGAATAGAATAGAATAGAATAGAATAGAATAGAATAGAATAGAATAGGTTGAAGGGTCCTTGGAGGTCTTCTAGTCCAACCCCCTGCTTAGGTAGGAAACACTATGCCATTTCAGAAAAAGGGTTGTCCAATCTCTTCTTAAAAACTCCAGTTTTGGAGTATTCACAACTTCTGGAAACAAGTTGTTCTACTAATTAATTCTTCTAACGGTCATGAAATTTCTTCTTAATTCTAGGTTGCTTTTCTCCTTGATTAGTCTCTATCCATTGCTCTTGTCCTGCCCTCAGGTTGTTTGGAGAATAGATTGACCCCCTCTTCTTTGTGGCAAATAGCATTTTAAGAATTAAAAATACTGGTTGCTTTTCAGACCCTTCTCTGCCATTCCAGCCCCTCTGCGGTATAGGCAGATGCTACAGATCTGGTGTTGGAAGCAATCCTGCTCTGAGTGGAAAAAGGAGTGACACATATATTGCCATTGTACTTTTTAATCAAAGCGCTCCTATCAGCAGAAAATAACCATGATATTTTTTTAATAAGGGCTTGCTGGTGGTAAAAATTCCCTTTCAGCAATGCAGACACTTGCTGGAGGGAGTTGCCCCTACAAATTTCCACAGATCCTATATGAATTTGGTCACACCTTGGCAAATTAGGCACATTTTTTAACTCCACTTTGATTTTTACATCCTCTACATTACAGGCTCCCAAAACAAATTTCTAAACACTCTTTCAAATAAGCTGGAACATAATGTGCCACAGTCACCCTCCCCACCAATAATGCCCCAGACATACAACTTTTAGTCACACAATAAATCAGGCCAACTTGAAACAGGAAGAGATATTGTTGATTTATTAGGGACTGGGATTAGTGCATAGCAATACTGGATGCTTATGCCAAGGCCCCAATGAATGACCTTCAGGAACCAACAATTGTGTGCCTTTCATAGTAATAGGAGGGCAGCTGTTGCACAATGGATATCTATATATCCCTCTTCCCCTAGGGGGAGTAGCATTACAGCTTTCCATAACAACAGGACATTGTGCGGGGGTGGGGGAGTATGTTTAAAACCAACATAGAGATCTCAGTGAGTTTTGGTGCAGACATTAAGGATAGTGCTTCCTCTTGTCATATCTGTCAGTAAAATCAATTCCTGGTAAATGAGTTGAATTATCGCAGAAACTAGTGACTCTGTCACAGCCCTGGGATTATTTCTCCTAGATTTTATCACCAATCTTCCCCCCAGTATAAAGATATATAAGCATATTGGTAGTAGCGGATTTATTTACCAAAGTCTTACGCCTTGAAAAAGGTCTCCTAATGTCTCAATAACCAGTTCGGCTCTTTTGGGACCACATATTTGAAATTACATGGTAGAAGATTTGGTCAATCATGTAATTTCAGGCAAAGGAAGTCAGTTCACTTCCAAATTTTGGAAGGACTTCTTGTACTTATTAAATATTTTTTAAAAATTGAAGGATCCTTGATGCTCTCTAAGCTTGATTGTTTTCTTGCAGACATTTCACTATCCAAACTAGATAACATCATCAGTGCTAGTTCATTTCTTTTCCTTGTCTCATCTGGCCACTAATAGAGAATCTGAGAAGGCTAATCAACTATGACAATATTTAAGATGTAATATTTCATATCGACAAGGCAACTGAACTGATCTTATATCTCTTTCTTACAACAATGCAGCACACTCTTCTATTGGTATGACTTTGTTCCAAGCAAATTTCAGATTCCACTCTCAGGTCTTGCCAACCATCAGGCACAAAAGCACCATCCATTGTGTTTCACATTTTCTGCACAAGAGGCAAGCTGCCTAAAGAACAACTTGAACTAGTAAAGGGCACGTACAAATAAGCAGCAGATGCATATAGACAAAAGAAGGCTAGAACTGCAGAAGGATTTGTCATGGCTTTCAACTTTTTTTTTCTTCCAAAAGGCCTTCCAACAAACTGGATCAAAAATTTTTTTTGGCTCCTTCCCAGTAATAAAACAAAATCTGCAATTGCCAGCATCAGTGAAAATTTACCCTGTATCATCGATCTTTATTGGTAAAAGAGGCTGAATTCTATGTTCACAGGTAGCATTCTCCTCTTATGCTGGTAAATGTGGAGGAAGACAATTCTAGACACATAGGAAAGTGGGTGGAATACTCCTGGACTCAGAGCTGCTGCAAATAGTAGCCAAGAGTAGAAAGGCTTTTGCCCAAACACATAATGTGCTCCAATTGCACTAATTCCTAGATCAGGAGACAGTGCTCATTGTCACTCAGGTCTTAGTCACCTCCTGACTGCATTAGTGTATAAAGTAGATAGATGCATTTTACATGATGTTGTCCTTGAAGTTTGAAAGTTTCAGCTTGTCTAGATGTTGTCCTTGAAGAGCATTTGGAAGTTTCAGCTTGTCTAGAATGCAGTGGCACTTGTAGTAATGGATGTTTCATGATGTATTTACACAATATCACTGCTTACAGCTGCAATTCAAATGTCAGTTGTTCTGTTTAAAACCATATGGCATGTGGTCAGTCTTGTGTAGGCAGAATGGACCTGCTTCAGGTCCCATTGGTGAAGCAGTGTCAAGTGCTGGACTTAGGTAGCATCCGTTCTTTCTCATGGTGCCTGTCTTGTGAAATCTCAACCTGCACCCTAAAATACAGATAGCTCCTAACTTGCTGCCCTTCTAGAAGACTGTGAAGATCTGATTGCTAGTTTTTGTCTCTGTTTGCCACCTAGAAGTCATTTAATAGGACAGCACTATAAATTTGCTTAATAAATCAATTAAAAAAACATACATAACAATTTTTTTTCTTTTGTTCATTAATTTATGCTTTTTACATATTACATTCCATCTTTAAATTTGAACCCATAGTAGCTTTTGTTGGATCATAATTACCTTTATATAGTGTATGGGAAAAATGTTCTTGTCTAGAAATTTTATGAAAGAAAATACAAATTGGCTTTGTTTAGTAAATAATAAGTTACTTGAGTCTGTCTACAGCTAAGAGCCTGTGAAGTGATCTCTTCTAGCCTGAACCTCTAGAAAGAAAAGAGAACTGAATTGAGAGAGAAAATGACAGCCTCGGGAGTATCCAATACATGACATGTTATATAGAAATATATAAAGTATATTTTGTCTTTTACACAAGGAAGAGAGAAAAAAGTGCAGAAATTTCCTACGTTAAATATTTTGCAACTATTTCCTTAACAAACAATAGGTTGAAGGGTAAGGAAACCTAGTCCATGAAAAGTTGAATTCCAGCAGCATTAACACATAATGTGACATTTTCATGCAGTTGTGTTTAATTTAAGTAACATCTCTGCTCCGTTTTTTTTCCAAAGAAAGAAGAATTCAATGTTATTACCATATTATCTGGGAAGGGTGGATTGGAATTATGCGAAAGACGCTACGTGGTGCTGAAGCAGCAGCAGCAGCATAGCAGTGGCTCTAAAGTGGCCACAGGTTTCCCAGATTTCATTCTGCAGGAGCAATTGGCCCCAGCATTGTGCTAAGTTAATCTGTTTAAGGTACCTTGGTTCAAAAAATGCTGCCTTGTGACTCACAATTTTGCCTAACTGAAGGCTTTAGAAAATCATTCTAAAAACGTCCTTTTAAAGTATATTTGAAATTGGAACTATATGGGCTTTGGGGAGGTACAAAATTCAATGTTGTTGTTGTCATCTTGTGTTCATTTTTAATAATTGATGATAGGAGGAAATGTTACCATTTAAGTCTGCAGGCAACTCCTACTAACCTGAATGTCCAATACTGTCTGATGCAATTTTGGAAGTTTTCGGCTGACTCTGCTTGCTACTTGCTCGTGCAGAAACTGATGGGGCATGAGAAGGTGGAATTGCAGTGCTGCTGGTCTCTCCTCTAATTGTGGTTAGGTCTTGCATGCTAAAACTCCGGAGCCTCTCTGACAGTGCTCCTTGACCCTGTGAAAATCAACAGTGACACATAGTAAGTGACACATTGATTCAGAATAATAGGTATTCATGCAATTTAAAAAAATAAAGAAAGCTCATATTGAAAATCCATTACTCTGAGTGACAAATTGGACATACTCCATCTCTCCTTCAATAAAATGGTTTATTTTTTTTAATTGTCATGTTTTTATGCATATTAGTATGTATGCACATTTTATTAATCCTCACACTCACATAAAATTATTTCTAAAATCCCTTTTGAGAGACAAATTGTATTGTAAAATTTTGAGAAAGGTATACATGTGAAAAAATACTCCCAGAAGAATGATTTTCTTGACAGAGAAAAAGCATTCTCTCCCAATGTTTCAGCTCCCCTGTTCTGCAGCCACCAGCACTCTTATTTTTTGAGCAATAATGGCATTTCTGGGATTAATCTTTCCTTGCTAGCATTCTTGAGGACTTTATAAGCAGGCTGCATCTTTACTCCCTTCTGATATAGTATGACCCATAAACTAGTCGAGGAAGGAATTTACAAAGCTCATTAGATCATGGATTCATTTTGTTCAGAACCTTCTATATCGCATTGATTGAGGATTTCAAACAGGAAACTTTCTCAACCCCTCTGAAATTACTGGGGACTGATGTAGAAATAGCATGCTCGACTAAATGAAGTATTGCTTTTTCACACTTAAATGGATGTAGAATTATGGCTGTATTTAATATAGTGGGTTAATCTTTGTTTCAGTTTGTCTTAATGTACACTAGAATGTCCATTTCCAAACCAATATTCTTAATCATGCCTCTGTAAATTTTAAGAAGTATTTTTCTACATAAGATTGAAGCATTAAATAATTAATATTGTTATTCCTCCTTGAACTGATTTAAAAGTGTTTATCTTAAATTCAGTTTTACTCTTGAGGTTCCCAGTATTTGCTTTCCTTCAAGCATCCACTCACTTGGTTACTACTATTATTCTTCCCCCATAATTTTTTTTTTGATCTAGTTGTAGATTTTAACTACAGGAACATATTATCTACAGCTGACATTTCTCAAGTCTAGTTGTGTCATAAATACATGGTTATATTTCCATATAAAGACCACTATTTTTCTCTAGTGGTCATGATCTGTAAATATGTATTACAGGTATGTCTTTCAGCAATAATTTAACATCTCTTGCCGTAGCATGGAGATGTAGAAACAATCATTCTTTTATATATAAATGATTCTAGATAATTTATGCTGTTTTAGACACCAGTTTTCATTAAAATTCAATGTTAATTATATTTTTTAAAATAGGAACATTATGAAATCAACTGGATTTAAATTAATCATTAATTCATTTCAGTGAACCTTCCCTAAATATAAATAAATCTAAATCATTATTCTTCTTAAATAAAAAAATCATACTGACTTAGCTAATTTCTTTTTCAACTCATACTTTAGAAAAGTCAGTATAATACAAATGTATTTTCAGATTGCAAAACTGATGTCATCTTTGCAAGGTAGTCCAAACAGGAAGCACACCAAGAAGGACTGTTGTATTGTAAGGTTATATTAACTGAATACAAAAGTGCAGTTCTCCTCTTCCTTTAGAGCCCCCAGAAACTGGAGCCCCTTCTGAGATGTTTGCTATGCCTCCATTCTTTCTGTGGACTAAGCTGTCCTAGCTGTGGCTCTTCCCCTTATCTCCCAAGGTCTTTCTCATATACTGTTATAATGTGAGAGAGACGGAAAGTACTCCCTGTATTAGTTTCTAGCAATTTTATAGCATGAAAAAAGATGAAAATTAAAATAAATTCCATAGTCCCATCTCCTGGTCCCATAGCGCTGAGGCATAGGTTTAGGGAAATCTGCTTCTCCTTCTCTTTCTTCTTGATAAGGAGGAAGACAGTCTCCCAAGAATTCTTGAATTAAATTTTATTTAAAAGTGGGAGGGGGAGAGAGAAACATGCAAAAATTCCTTTTTAGCAAAGGAGTTAAAAATACAGAGCCATTCAAGGCATTGGCAGAATTTGAAAACAACCTATAATAAAATAGCATCTATAAAAGAAAATTCTACAGATTTTTTTTTGCTGAAAATAGAAAAAAAATGAACTTGGGATTCATGGGTTTAATGATAAGGCAGGGTAGGAGATGGTAAGAAATGACCAATAATGTAAAATTAGAGAAAGAAGATTAAAATATATAAAATAAAATATATAAAATATATAAAAATATCATAACCTTCCTAACAGATAGGAAGCAGCAGGTGAAGCTAGGCAAAATCACATCGGATACCTGTAAAATAAGCACACCCCCCCCCCCCCCCCCACAAGGCTGTGTGTTATCTCCACTTCTCTTCTCCCTATATACCAATGACTGCATCTCAAACAATTCATCTGTTAAAATACTGAAGTTTACAGATGACACAACAGTGATTGGTGTCATTCGAGACGATGAATCCGCATACAGACAGGAGGTTATACAACTTGCCTCGTGGTGTAACCGGAACAATCTGGAACTGAACACACTCAAAACCGTAGAAATGGTGGTAGACTTTAGAAGAAACCCTCCCATACTACCACCTCTTACAATAGTAGACAACACAGTATCAACAGTAGAGACCTTCAAATTTATAGGTTCTATTATATCATATGACCTAAAATGGACACCTAACATCAAAAACGTCATCAAAAAAGCACAACAATGTTCTTTCTGCACCAACTCAGGCAAGGAGCTTCTGATACAGTTCTACAGAGGAATTATTGAGTCTATCATCTGCACCTCTGTAACTGTCTGGTTTGGTTCTGCAACCCGACACAGACTTCAGAGGATAATTAGGACTGCAGAAAAAACAATTACTACCAACCTGCCTTCAATCAAGTACCTGTATACTGCATGAGTCAAAAAGAGGGCTGTGAAAATATTTACAAACCCCTCACATCCTGGACATAAACTATTTCAACTCCTTCCCTCAAAATGATGCTATAGAGCACTGCACACCAGAACAACTAGACACAAGAACAGTTTTTCCCCGAAAGCCATCACTCTGCTAAAAAAATAATTCCCTCAACACTTCAACTATTTACAAAGTCTGCACTACTATTACTATTAATCTTCTCATCACTCCCTATCACCCATCCCCTCCCACTTGTGACTGTATGACTGTAACTTTGTCACTTGTATCCTTATGATTTATATTGACTGTTTCCTAGTATGATTTGATTGCTTATTGTATCCTATGACTATCATTAAGTGTTGTACCTTATGATTCTTGATGAATGTATCTTTTCTTTTATGTACATTTAGAGCATTTGCACCAAGACAAATTCCTTGTTTGTCCAATCACACTTGGCCAATAAAGAATTCTAAATTCTAAAAATATAATTATTGCTATAAAGCTTAAAAATCACTCTTAGATACAGCCCTCCCTAAGCGGCTTACAGAGTCAGCATATTGCCCCCCAACAATCTGGGTCCTCTGAAGGATGGAAGTCTGAGTCAACCTTGAACCACTCAGAATTTAACTCCTGGAGTGAGCAATGTGTTAGCCTGCAATATTGTATTCTAACCACTGAGCCAACATGGCTCATCACAACATGCTATTGATCTGGTAACTGATGTAAACAGGTGTAAATTTATAAAACATACACAATGACTGAGCTTCAATAAAGACAATAATAATCAAAGACAATACATTTGATTTAAACATTACATACTTCTAGCTATTTTTTCCCCCAAGGATTTTTTTTTCTGCAATGGGTTTCTCTCTGACTCGGTTATCCCTGGGCTTCAGACCCTGAGGATTCCAGTCAGTTAAATTTGGTGGTTGCTTAAGACATGGCAGATATGCCTGTTTTCTTCTTAGCCTCCATTCCCAATCTCTGCTTTAGTTTTCAAAACAACAAACTATTTTTCTCTAGCAGAAAGAGAGGAATTTAAGTAATCTGATTTTGCAGGTAGGCCAAAGCATGCTACTATCTATTTTACAGTCTAGATTCATTGTCTGTAATGTGGATCGAAACAAATGTGGTTGCCATCAATGGAGCTGACTGACTCATTCATCCATGTATCTCTTTTAAAAGATTATATGATTAGCTAAATACGGCTCTGTCTGCTAGGATGCCCACGCTAAGAACTGATCCTTAACACAACATACAGTGTGTCCTTCGACTTATGATTATAATGTAACCTTCCCATTATAGTTGTAAGTCATTACGATTATAAAGCGGATCACCAATATGACTAATTCGATTTTATGACTTTTTTTTTTGCAGTGGTTGTTAAGACATTGCTGCTGTCATAAAGCAACCACTGTGGTCATAAAGCAACCATTGTTCACTATACGGCATTTTTGCTGAAAACTGGAAGACACTGCAAACAGCCATGAATGCAGCCAGCTGTTGAGCATTCAACATGTGGTCAAGTGATTGGAAGGCATTGGAACTTCAGAACCAGATCATAAGTTTCTTTGGGGGAGGGGGAATCCTTGATAACTTCAAATCCTATCAAATCAAATCCTGTACTTGTCAACAGTGGTGTCCCCCAAGGCAGTGTTCTAGGACCAACTCTCTTCATACTCTATATTAATGACCTCTGTGGTTATATTAAGAGCAACTGCGTTCTTTTCGCTGATGATGTAAAGCTATTCAACACCACTGACAATGCTGCTACCCTTCAAAAAGACCTCGACTATGTATCAGAACGGTCAAACAAATGGCAACTTCAGATACAAAATAGATACAAAATAGATTCAAATCTCAACAAATAAATGCTCTGTCTTACATATTGGCAAAAAAAATCAGAAAATAAAATACAAGCTGAATAGTCAAGACCTTGTTGATGATCCAAACTCTTTCAAGGACTTTGGAATACTCATCTCAAATGATCTAAATGCTAGAGCCCACAGTAACTACATAGCCAAAAAGGTACTAAGTGTTGTTAACCTAATCCTGTGTAGCTTTTTCTCCGGTAATATCACTCTACTAACTAGAGCATATAAAACATTTGCTAGACCAATACTTGAATACAGCTCATCAGTCTGGAACCCGCATTACATATCTGATATTAATACAATTGAGAAAGTCCAGAAATATTTTACGAGAAGAGTCCTCCACTCCTCTACTTGTAGCAGAATACCTTATGCCACCAGACTTGAAATTTTAGACCTAGACAACCTAGAAATACGCTGCCTTCAGTTCGATCTAAGTATAGTACATAAAATTATATATTGCAATGTCCTACCTATCAATGTCCTACCTACCTTCAGCTTCAACCAAAACAATACAAGAGCACAAAATAGATATAAACTAAGGATAAACCGCACCAAACTTGATTGCAGGAAATACGACTTCAGCAACAGAGTGGTCAATGTCTGGAATACTCTACCTGACTCTGTGGTTTCTTCCCCCAACCCCAAAATCTTCAACATTAAACTGTCTACTATTGACCTCACCCCTTTCCTAAGAGGTCTGTAGGGGGAGTGCATAAGCGCACCAAAACGTGCCTACTGTCCCTGTCCTATTCTTTTTTTCTTATTCATATCCATTTCATGTATTTATAACCATGTTTATACTCATACCTGTTATCTAATAATTGACAAAATAAATAAATAAATAAATGGTTGCTAAGCAACCAGTTATAAGTCAGGGAATACCTGAATGTAGAACATGCAATTAGTTTAGCATACATGGATATGTCAGTGTGAAATATTTATTCATCAATTGTAATTTCTATGCTGCTGTAGTCCAAAATTTTGTTTCTGTTGACAATATCCCTTTTTTTTTAAATTCACTTCTCCCATTCCCTTTAATCACTGATCCCTTGAGATAATTATCTGAACAAAATATCTGTCATTCTATCTTAAAGCCATATTTCTGTAGTAGGCTTCTCAGAGCTATTCAGTCAGTTTTGTCAAATCAACATTTCTACAGACAACAATGTAATTTCTCATAGATGCATACCACAGCAGAGTCCACTTTCTCTGAGGGATTTTCTCATCAACAGTTTCTTAGGAATACCATTGGAAGAAGAGTTTGATCTCTACCCACTTGTGTTAACAATGCTTCATTGCCCCTCTCTAAAGTTCTGTGATTAACATGAACAGCTTTTCATAGTCTAGAGCTTGTAAGACAATACTACAACTAAGAGCTGCTTTCAGCTGCTAAAACTCACCCTGGCTGTTCTCAGTTCACACCTGCACATTTCTTTCTTTACTAAATCTGACCAAAAAAGCTATTTTTGGGGTTGTACTTGGAACAACTTCAGAAGGTAATTGGCTGGTGCGAAGAACAATTGCACATATTTTTTTATTAGTTGAAAGGTAAGTCTTGATGACATATTCTCATTGCCCATCTAGTACCTGAGGTAGGCTAAATTATTCAAACCAATTGGATAGGGATTCCAGCCTTCCTGATGCATTGAAATACCACCTCAGTTATTACAAATGCTGCTCCCAGGTAGTCATATTTTTTCTTTAGCCTACCTGACAGGAAACTCACCTCCAGTGCTGCTCCTAACATCCATGACTCCTCATTTCTTCTCCTTATGTAATGTTTTTTTATGACAGTATGTAGCTTCCATATCAATCCACCCAGTTAATTCCCTTTTTCAACTAGCTTTTCAGCCCTTGTCTAATGGGTACACAAATCCAAATGACCATTTGGTGTCAAGCAAATATAGAAAAACCCTAATTAAATAACTGTTATGTTGAATAGCCATCCATTGTTTCATGATTTTTTTAAAAAAATCAATAGCTAATGGTAAGGACAAGATAAAATATATATATAGTTCATGGAGTAACAAAGCAGTTTGCTTGCTAATTAAAGGAGAAATTTATTTTCTTATTTATTTGACTGATCCCAGGTGAATGATACTGTATGCGAGTAGAGTTTCAGTTAAGTGAACCACAACCACAGCCCTTTGAATGATGTCTTTAAAACTATACAAATAACAATATATACCTATGGACCAATAGTGTTGATTAAGAATGTAAGCACTGAGCTTTGGTGAAAAGTCTTACAAATGACTTATTTTGCCCTACAGATAGTACTTGATTTATGACCACAATTGAGTTCTGAATATAATCATAAGTTGAAACAGCATATGATTAGGCTCAATTTTATAGCTGTTTTTATATCAATCATTAAGCAAATCGTGTGGCCAAATCCAGCTAATCCAATGGGTGTTTCTTGCCAGAAAATGGCAAGGAAGTCACAAAACACAATTCTGTAATTCTGAAATGCTGCAACTCATCATAAATGTGAGGCACTTACCAAGCACCTGAAATACAATGTGGTAGTGATGTAGCAGTTATAACTTTGAGGGTGGACCTAAACCACTTTTTTTGAGTCTGTTGTATTTTTAATCATTAAGCAACCAGTCCTAAGTTGAGGATTACTTATAGCTGAAACTTTTGAACTGTTTCCCATCATGGCAACTGCTGATATAATGCATTCCAGCCCCTCAATAGGTTACCAATAGAGGGATAACCATGGCCTGCTAAATATTTCAACCTCAAAATTATCCTTTGCTCTTGTTTATTTTTACATCTTGAAACAAAGATGTATGTATCTTTTGCATCCTGTGTTTCTTATTCACTATCAAATCTGTATCAATTAACTATGGAACAAAATACATGCAAATGCACAAAAACATGGACGGAATTAGTAAATGCTATCATCACTGTGATTTTTAATAAGATGCAAAATGATGCCAGATGTTACATTAAATTCTTAGAAGCCTATGTTTATCTGGGTCTCATCATGGTTGAATGCACTTGGACTTGCTTTTCAGCAACATGCATAAGATTGTCATTAAGTTGTTAAATATTACTGGAAAAATATTACTTAAATGAAAAATGTTTGTATTTAAACCATACACCAAACTGTTAGTATTCTATTAGAAATAACTTTAAAGAAAATGTATTTTTCTTTGGTATATATAACCAGAAGTATCACATGAAATCAACTTAGTCTTTTACTACAAGTATTTCATTAAATAAACATTTGAAGTATCTCAAAATGTTTTTATATGATCATTACTATATTTATATTTCTTGATACATTTTGGATGTATTTTGTGTTCATTTTTATAAATTTTTCATTAATGCTTCCTTTTTAGACAATAAAAAGATGGCTCTATCAAAAGATTTTTAAAACCTCTTTAAAGTGAGCATATTTTAGAAGCTGTATTTTTTATATTTTTGTTCAAAATAGTAATATGAAGGATACTTATAAATTAAAACACCAACAATATGTAAAATCTAAAATCTAAAAAAGATTAACTGTATTCATGGATTAAGCTTTATTGTTTGATCTTTGAATTCATATTACATGGTTTATAGGTTAGTGAAAATTCACAGCATGGATATGGTCCCCCAAACCTCTTCGAAATTCTTCAAGATTGTATCATCAATGCTTAGAGCTGAATAGTAAGTAAATTTTGGTGATGTGATTCCCTCCCCCCTTTTAGAACTAATATAGAAATAAGTGCTTTTAGTTTCTTCTATACGTAATGCACATATTTTGCATTGAGCACTTCCCCAAAACATTAAAATGCTCCCCCAACTGTGTTGAACAATGCAAATATGTTTGTTGCCTTGGGTGATGTCATCATATCATATCACTGCTTGAAATTCTCAAGAACTATGGCTTTAACAATGAAAGGGTCACCCACATTAGTTTAATACATTGTTCAAATCTAAACAGTTATTATTTCTTCAGAAAACCATGGTTAAATAAATTATAGCTGAGTGCAATGTGAAAACCAGATCAGAAATAAAAGATTGACTTACGTTTGTAAATTTTTGATCACAGTCTTTACATAGAAGAGTCTTTAGAGATGTAGCTAAAATATTGTTTCATGTTTTTTTTTTCCAGTAGGAATTGGTCACTAAGTTAAATGGGCTGTGTAGCACAAGGCAAAAAACATGTTTTAGAATGAATGCATAAATTTTTACAATTTCATAAACCAGATGTAAATTTTCTTGGGAGTGCACAGCAGCTGTAGAAAGGGAATGATTCCCGGGGAAGAAAATATAATTGCTTTAAAAATTGCAGAGATGCTGTATTTCTACCTGCATGTGCTTCAGAGCATCTTAGCTGAAGCTCTGCACAAGCCCTGTGTGTTAATAGCTATGGAAGTGAAATCCTGTAGCCACTGTATGACTAAATAATCCTGTCATAACTCCTATATTACATGGCATCCTTGCAATTTTTGTTATTACTGATAAAGTCATAGTTTTAAGCTGAATGCATGACAACATCTATGTTCCACAATTTACTACTGATAGTGCTTGTTTTAGTAAAAAAAAAGATATGGCAATCATGCTGGTCTTGCTTGATAATATGTAGATTAGTTTAGAAGTTAATAGAAACCTTCACAAGGTTACCTGCCCGTCTTTCAGATCCAAATGCATGAGAAAATGAAGAAGCTGGGTGATCTAGCAGGTAAAAAAAAATCCCACTGTGGCAACATATAAAACAAACATTGATTGTTCTACAAGAATGAAGTCACAGGTGAACCTTGTTGCTGAAAAGCTGAATACACCATATACTGCACCACTTATTCAAGGTCTTGCTATTGTCATTGCAGATTGCTATGTGTACATGTTGTGTATTGACCTCCACTCTAGGATTCTTTTGTAGAATAATTAGGAGCTAATTTCTCTATATGAAGAGAAATAATGTAATACAATGTATTGCAGATTCCACCACTTCTTCTAAAGGGCACTCAAACACTAAACAGTATACAGTTTAGATGTGAAATACTTATCTTCATAACAATAGGAAAGCAAAAAGAGCTTAAACAACATTCTAAAGGATAACTTAGTTTTATATTTCATATCAATCTTTTTTATTCTCTAATTCCAATTAATACTTTTCTTATAACTCTATATATTTATACAATTAACTTATTAGGCAATTAAACCTCCTCTGCCTTTGAAAACATAGTCTAGCAAATATATTCCTTTTGTCCAATGTTTAATTATCAGGTTCATCATCATTTAATTGTTACAAGTTATTAAATCAATGCAATAAATCAATTGAAATAAAAATAATAATACTGCTGTACTTGATTTCTTGATTTTTCCTTGATTTATGACCATTCATTCAACAACTGACTGAGTGGCTTTGGGCGCATGGAGCTTCAGGATCCAAGATTTTCTCATCCTTAGTTCAGAAGGCATTGTATTGCCCTATTCACACCCACTTCACGTTAGGGGTTCTCCTGGATTCATGTCTGAGCATGACTAGGACAATTTTAGCACAGCTCCTGTTTGTGCTTCAGTGGTGACATTTCCTGGAGCATGACTCCCCATGCTCAGTCACTCAAGCCCTTGTCATCTCTTATCTGGACTACTGCAGTTCATTCTACATGGGGCTACCCTTGAATCAATTTGGAAGCTTCAGCTGGTGCAAAGTATGGCCGTGAGAGCAGTCTTTGAGGCCCCTAGGATGGCCCATATTCTATCTCTGCTCTGCGAATTTCACTGGCTACTACCTAGTGCTGTTCAAGGTGTTGGTTACGACCTTTAAAACCTTTAATGTCATAGGTCCAGGCTACCTGATGAACCATCTTGTTGTTCCATTAGCCCAAGCCCATCCTACTCATGCCGGCTGAATGGGCCTACTGTGGTCAAAGAACTCTGACTGTTGGGATCCAGAAGAAGAGCCTTCTCTGCTGCAGCACTTACCCTTTTTAACATCTTGCCTTCCAGGGTAAGATCTGCTCCCATCCTCCTATCCATCTGCAAGAGCCTGAAGACCTGGCTCTACTGATTGGGATGGGTTCCATGCTGGAGGTGGCTGCTGGACTGATGGCTTACTCCACTTCTCACCCCTTTCTCTCTGATCTCCACCCACCCCCTTTTTTTGGTTAGCATATTGGTATATTCTGATTGTTTTCTTTTTCATTTTTCATTTAATTGTTCTATTATTTTACTTGAGTTTTCTTTACATTCTTATCATTTCTTCATTTTTATTGTTGTAAGCTGCTTAGAGTAGCCCCATGGTGAGATAGCTGGCAAATAAATGTAACGATAATGTGGCTGACTGAGCATCAAACCAGAATTGTTCAAAAATCACAACAGCACTAAACAAAGGGACATACAACCCCCTCCTGAAGTTCCAACCGTCACAGTCCTCCTGCGGTCATGTGACAAAATTTGGAGCACTTGGCAGTATGCCCGCTGTTATGAACACAGGAGCACTGTAATTCCCACACACACACAAGCTGGGAGGCCTTGACCTGCTGGGCCCACCAGCACATCAGCCTTCCCCCGCCATATCATTCCCCAAGGCCTAATTTTTCTCTCTACCCAGCTGTCTGGCTCCACTTATCTTTCCTTTCTGTGCAACTGCTAACAAGTTCACCTTGCCAATACAAGGTACAGCGACTACAGAAAGCTAGCCAATGCAAAGTTTCCAGAGATAGAAAGAAGTTCACAATGTTGCAAGGGCTGGTGTTGGCTAGCTTTCTGCAGTAGATGCGCATCTCATTGGCTGGGCATGAAAGGAGAAGGGAAGTGGACCTGCACAACTGAATAAGTCCCAAGCCTTCCAAGAAAGTGGCGTGGTGGGGAAAAGGCCCAAAACCTCTGAGAAAACTGGGGTGGATGGATATTCCATGTGCTGGTGGGATTGCTAAACAAGGGCTCCCAGCCAACAGTAAACTTCCATGCACCAGAAGGCACAACCAGGCAAGACCTTCCGGCCTGTGGCAGGTTTCCACATTCTGGTGGGTCTAGCTGGCTGAGGTCTGCAGCGAGTTTCTGCATGCGGCATGGAGGGTACTGGCCTCCCAGAGCCTCTCTCATCACAAGGTACACCCGTGTCATTGTTTAACAACTGCAAGTTAGGATTGCGTTTGTTGAATGAAGATGGTCACGTGGGCAACTAGTTTAATAATTGCAATGACTTGTGACCCAAATTGTGGGTTCAATAGTTCTTGTAAGACTATCTGTATCAGTTCATTCTCCATTATCATATGGAAATTGTAAATGTATATACAATTGTTCCTACCTCTTCAAACAATCTCATTTTCAGCACAAAATGTTCTGTTCAGTTTTTTATATTTGTATAAAATCAATTCAGTGTTTCTTTATTTTAATTCAGTAAAAAAGAAATAGGTTAAGTGAAGTTTTTTTTAAAATACAAATTCCTGAAAAAGAAAAAGAAATGATTCTAAAAACTCTTAGGTTTATACCTCAGCCACTACATTTGTGGGTACAGTTTGTTATTTATGGAACTAGCTATAAGTTTTCCTAAGTATAACACTAAATTTTGCTGTTAATCACCTTGCAAAGAATGTACTACTTGTGTCTTTGTGTACTGAGACATTTATGGTCTTCCACTAATAATGGCAAATGGCTTTAGAGCTTCCGATACTAAGTGTTGCTCACAAGCCATTGTTTGTTCTCACAGCCAAAGAAAATGATAATATTAAAGTAATTCTCATATCCTGAATTGTCCTACTGGTTACCTTGGAAGCTGCCATTACAGCAGCTGTGGCTGCAACATTTAGCCCCCGTTTCCCAAAATGCATCAGGGCATCATAGCTGCGACCTTTTGCTTGGACTAAGCAATCATCTATTTCCTGTCAAAAAGAAAAAAAATCCACAATCAAACTCAAAAGAGTTCAAATAAACTTGTCTTTCTCTTACTTATCAAGGGAAGATGTTTTTATGTCTGCCCTATATATAGATCAAAATGGTTTAAACAGAGTATGATTTATAAGTAATCATCCACCTTCCTCATTGATATAACAATTATATGACAGTGGTTGTCATAATTTTATAATAAAAGAAATATGCAAATTTGGGAAACTTCATTTTCAGGATGACCTCTAAGTCATAATTTGTTAGGTGTGGGCTTAATATATTACACGAACCTAACCACTGTAGTTTAGTAACCATACTTTACTGCTTAATATAATACTGTATATCAATCTTGGAGATATAAAATGAATAATTCAGCTCTCCCTATCTTTTTAATAGAAAAATAGGGATATAAACTTACAGTATAGGTCCTAATTAGAGTGATAATATGAGTAAAAAAATTCAAAGCTATTTTAGATCCTTAGAGAATACCTGATTCAAATACAGATACTTAGGAGGTTGCTTAACACTCAGTCGGAGGAAGAATAATTCACAAATTATACCCTAGAGACAAGCATGATATAAAAGTGCTGCTAGATAAATTACTTTCCAAAAGAGTGGATATATAAATCATGGCAAGCCACCACTTGTTTAACCATTGTCTGATAACTAAATCTAATTAACTGAATTCACACAATACACTAAGACTAAACCAAGACTAAACTAGCAATTTATTTACCATCAACTTGCTAACTTTTGTAACCTTTATTTGCTGGTAACAAATGGGGAAGATTATAATTGCTCTGTCAATGTGCAGATTGTTGAATTAAAAGGAATGAAGGATAATAAAGGGTTACATGAGTTCTTGGTAGTCTTTCCTATTTTAGTGTCACGGTGCTTTGGATTTTAACTCTTATATTTCCCATCTGGATAGGAATTAAAGGAGCTGTAGCTCAACGTAATACAATTGAAAAATACCAGGTTGGAAAAATTTGCATTAAAATATATATTTCTCATATGAGCTGTTCTTCAAGATTTCTAACTGACTACTCCAATCGCCTTTGAAAAACTTGTAACTTTCTTCCCTATAGAGCCAATAGCTTAGATCATTTATTACGTTGACAGTCATAACAGTGGGCAGCTGCATTTCTTTTTAGTTCTAATCTGTAGAAACAAGTCAACCAAGAAAAAAAGAGTAACACCTACTGAAATGAAATTCTTCTTCCTGAAAGGAATGCAAAAAGTGTAAGTAATATTATACAATCAGTAGTGCTATCCTACAACTAATTCAGTTTGATGAGGGTCACTAATGGTGGTCTCACAGCCTAAAGATATTCTTATTCATAAGCTTATCTTACTTTTTGAGAAATAATGTCACTGACCTTTTCTTTTGAAGACAAAGTTGGGTGTACAAATTTCCTATATAGAAGACTGGAGCCCTTTGTGTATGGAGACAATAACCAAGCTACAAAGGCTATTTTGAGTTCATAATAAAATGGGAACCTACAGAAAAGGAAAAGAATATATTTTGGTGCTCTTTTCAAATCAAGTTCCTTGAGAATTTACCAAGAAAGTACATTTATAAATGTTTGAATGTGTGCATTGATGTTGGCGTCTAAAAACATTTCACCTTTGCATTTGGCTTTTGCTAATGTCTTTAAGTGCATCTTCATGAATAACAAAGTCAGGAGTCCCACTCATAAACCCAAGTCCAATCCCTCCACCAATAAAATGAAGAAGTATCTAGCCTCTCTTCTATTTGAGAATGCCATGTGAAGTCTCACTGCTCATTCATTCCTAAGTACAGTAGAACAATTTCCTGTCAATAGTTGTTTCCATCCTATTTATCCCTTGACAACTTGCACAAATATTCAGTCCACAAATATTCATCCAGCCTGTTTCAAGATGGTTGCAATATTTGTTCCACATTTCTTACAGGAAAAAAAAGTTCTAAGAGAGCAAAAGTGAACATAGTATCTCATATATCCTGATGTTCAGTTAAATAAAGGCAATTGTGAAAGATTACAATGAGCTGAATCCTTGAGTGGCTTAAATATGCAGATGACAAAAATGACATGCAAGATACATTAGGCCCTGAAAGGACCTAATGGCAAAGACTGCAATGACGACATCATCAAAGCAAACCTCTTTAACATATTCCTTGGCTCAGTATTTGTAAACAGCAATGTATTTGTAAAAAGCCCAGTACTTCCTAGTCGAACCACAGACAACTATAATGATCTAATACATATTGATTTTACAGAAGACATTGTTAAAAAAGCACTGCGCAATCTAAAACCATCCCTATCTATTGGACCGGACAGAATATGTGCCTACTTCTTAAAAAAGCTATCCACTGCCATAGCTGAACCTCTAAGCATAATCTTTGAAAAATCTTTCAGGACCAGCTCCTTGCCAAAACTATGGTCACAAGCCACAGTCATCCCCATCTTCAAAAAGGGAGAGCCCAGCCTAGTTGAAAATTACAGACCAATCTCCTTATGCTGCGTCACCTGTAAAGTCATGGAATCAATTATTAACCAATCCATCATCCTCCACTTAGAGACAAACAACCTACTCTCTAATAAACAATTTGGTTTCAGAACTATCCTGTAATCTGCAACTCTTACACTGCAAAAACATATGGACTACACAACTCAATCAGGGCAAAGCAATAGACACAATCTACATAGACTTCTGTAAAGCCTTTGATTCAGTGGTACACAACAAACGCCTACTAAAACTAAAATCTTATGGTATCTCTGGACACCTACATAACTGGATAGAGGCATTCCTGTCAAACAGACAACAAATGGTTAAAATTGGGAGCGTCCTATCAAATTCTGTACCTGTCAATAGTGGTGTCCCCCAAGGCAGTGTTTTAGGACCAACTCTCTTCATACTCCACATAAATGACCTCTGTGATCATATTAAGAGCAACTGCGTTCTCTTTGCTGATGATGTAAAGCTATTCAACACCACAGACAATACTACTACCCTCCAAAAAGACCTTGACTATATATCAGAACGGTCAATCAAATGGCAACTTCAAATTTCAACAAATAAATGCTCTGTCTTACATATTGGCAGAAAAAATCAGAAAATAAAATACAAGCTAAATACAGGATCCAAACTTTGTCAAGGACCTTGGAGTGCTCATCTCAAATAATCTAAGTGCTAGCGCCCACTGTAACTACATAGCCAAAAAGGCATTAAGAGTTGTTAATCTAATGATCCTACGCAGCTTCTTCTCTGGTAATATCACACTAGAGAATACAAAACATTTGCTAGACCAATACTCGAATACAGCTCATCAGTCTAGAACCCATATCATGTATCTGATATTAACACAATTGAAAAAGTCCAGAAATATTTCGCAAGAAGAGTTCTCCGCTCCTCTACTCATTGCAGAATACCTTATGCCACCAGACTTGAAACTCTTGGCCTAGAAAACCTAGAACTACACTGCCTCCGGTCCGATCTAAATATAGTATATAAAATCATACATTGCAATATCCTACCTGCAAATGAATACTTCATCTTCTATCATAACAATACAAGAGCACACAATAGATACAAACTCAAAGTTAACCACACCAAACCTGACTGCAGAAAATACGACTTCAGTAACAGAGTGGTCAATGCTTGGAATACTCTACCTGACTCTGTGGTTTCTTCCCCAAACCCCAAAAACTTTAACCTTTGACTGTCTACTATTGACCTCACCCCTTTCCTAATTAAAAATGTTCCCTTTTAATTCTCTCAAACATTTTAATTCATTTATTTATTAACAAACATCCCACTGCATTACAATAAATATTTTATCCATCATCATATTTTCTAAAGTTATTTCTATTTGTAATATAACAAAGTTATCTTATGTACCTTTGCAGAATCCCTTTTACAATTAAATTTTCACCCATTATCTCTAAACAAACTTATGGTTACAATCCTTATATCTGTTCCCTGTTTCTCCATTTCTTGTTTCTGTCTTTTACAACTTCTTTTCCTTGCCTTCTTCCCCCTCTTCTTCTCCCTCCCCTTTTTACCCCCTCGTCTCTCTACTTCTAACTCTGTAATCCCCTCTTCTGTTGCTTTCTAATATTATACTTATCTTTCAAATTGTTCTTCTTATTTTTGGTTGTTTTTTCTAATCTTAAACCTTTCACTCTCTTTTCCCCCTTTTCTTTCCCCCCACCCCACTTAAAATTATTTGATCATTAAAGATGGCTTCTTCTTTCTCCCAATCTTCTTGTTCTGCAAGCGTTTCTTGTTGCTTCTCATAGTTCCAGATCTCCATTTCTAAGAATTGAAACACGAAGCCAAAAGAACTTCTCCCTACTTCTTTCCATTTTTTAAGTTCTGTTTTCAGTTCTTCTAAGAGTGATACCATTTTAAAAACTTTTAAACAACCACCCAGTTAATTTTAGTCATCTAGATGCAAAAACCAAAAATCACCAAGTAATCCAAATAATCCAAGACTGTTTCTACTTGCTTCTTTTTTCCACTTTCTCTTCCTGGGGTTCTATTATTTTGTTATCAAGTTTCCATTAAAATGTGTCTTTGAGGAATCTTGTTAAAATTTCACTGTAAGTTCCTTTTAGTTACAGTTCCATTCCTTAATTCCAGGCAGTCTCCTCCATTTTTCCAGATCCTGCCCTTCTATTCTTTTTTTTTCTCCTTTCCAGCTTTTAAAAACTTTTAAATGTCCAGAAATCTTTATTTATCCCTTTGACTTTTATTTTCAGCTTAGATGCCTATCAATGTCAAAGTGGTTTTTTTCCCCAGTTTCTTGCTTAAGTCTCTTAGCTGTCAGTATAAGGATGGAAAGAAAAAAAACCTAATCCTTTCCCTTCTCTCTCTCCTTCGCAGCTTCAAAATCTTCTTTAGGAACAATGTTAAGTTTAAATTCCAGGGTACCTTATTTGTTGCTTTTGCTGTTTGACCCGGTCAACCAAAACTTTCTCTTCTTATCTTCCTCCTGCACATTCTTTTCCAGTCGATTTCTTCTTTGTGGTGGCCATTTCTGACCACCGCTACAACCGCCTTCAGGAAAGGGAGTAATGGCCAGCTGGGGAGGAGAGATGTGGTTCTCCTCAACCCTGCAGGCAGTCTCCCCCCTCTTCACCACCTCTACGGGGTGGCTTAGCCCTGAAACCAGCTGGCTCGGGGCGCTCCAGCGGCGAGCACGGATCGAAGCCTTGGAGAGATGAGGTTTCAGTCTGTCACCGAAGAAGCTCAAACCGGAAGTCCAAAACTATATTTATTCTTATACTTGTATCTTGTGATTGACAAATCAAATAAATACTAAAAAAAATACTAAAAATATTCATGACTGAAAATTTCTTCTGCTTTTTTCTCTAAGACCCCTGTCCTTATCTTTCTTCCTACAACCCTATTCTCATCTTAATATTCTTCCTGTATCTTCTTCTATGCATCTATTCAGGACTTTCCCAGGTCCAATTTTAATATTGGAAATGAACAGGAATTTCTAAATTCCTGGGAATTTAGACACATTCTCTGTGCTCTAGTTATGTTTTAATATACCTGTATTCAAAGATATATGTTTATGTTGTTTATCAGCAGGAAAATTCAGGTTTTAGCCATTTCTCAAACCCAGACATTCTTAATTTGAACAAAGAGACCACATCTACCTTCTTCTTCCCTCAGGTCCTTTTCAACCTTTCTCACATACCCGCCCTTTTAAATTGTGAAAGGATTTTTTACTGTTGTATATGCTTTCATCCTTGAGATGCTTCTTCTTTCTTTGTTTGCTATTGTAACACAAATATCATTGTGGTCCAACCTCAAAAGGTTTTACTGATATCTTCCCCATATACATGCCAGGACTGCATCTTCATAACGTACATCCTCCTAAGACTTGTAATTTTTCCTAACAAATGAACTTTGATTCACAAACTGTAGCAGTAGTTCTATAAACCACAAGTTTCTCAAGGATGCTAATGATTATTATGTTTACAATATTCCCCTTCAAAGTGGGATTCTAGAGAACAACAGTCAATAACACCAACATTCACACTTGGCATTCCTGAAAGAAAATGCCAGGCTTCCAGGACAGATATTCCACCCCCTTAATATCACTGGGTGCCTAATACTATCTACAGTGCATGCCTCTGTGTGTGTGTGTGTGTGTGTGTGTGCCTGCATTTTCTGTTCTACTTTTTTTTTCCTGAAGAACACATTTCAAAGGATACCAACCAGCAAAGAAAAATGTCTGTGAATGTCTCTGCTGTTGTGAAGAGTGCAAATATGATCCAGTACATCATCCATTTCACCTGAAAAGAAAGCATAATTAAAAATTTATCTCATACTTCCGAATTATACAGGTGCTATTTCCTTCCTTCCTAGTATTAAGGACAGGCTTACTAATAGGCATGGTGAGATAACATTACTTCAAATAACAGATTCGTACTTAACAAAACGCAGAACCACATATATTTATTTATTAATTTTTCAACCAACATTTGTGTGGAAGATAAAATGATTTGGAAATTTTATATTCAGGAAACAAATGGCTTATTTAAGGATCATGTAGCAGAAGTAATTCTGAAATGGCATAAAAGCAATTATAAAAGTTACTCTGACTCTACTTTATAGCTCTATTTAATATTACATTTTTCATTACAAGCTATCTTCTTATTTCATTAAAAAAAACTATAGGTGTTATCAGTTTTGGTAAATCCCAAGTTACTTTAGGCTGTTTCTATGGCTTCATGATGAAAAATAGAATAATTTAAAAATGACTCAGACCGAATAAGGATATACAAACAGTTCTGAATGTTGCAAAAATATTTTGCACTATGTTTGCAAAAACATTACAATAATGTTCTCATACAGAAACACACACTTTGCTATTCAGTTAAGTATAAATGGGAAGTACGTGGTTGATAAATAATATTACTAATATTAAAAGTTTTTTTACTAACCCTAACTAGATTTCAAAAGCATTGTAGTAAACTAATATGGGATATGGTTACAAAATAGTAATCACTATAATTATGGATGGAGATCTGTACAATTTCATACACAATGGGCCCCCATTCTATGCTCCCGGTATAGTATCTGCTACGTGTGCTTCAATGGCCCAACATTGTGTCTTTAATCAGTAAACAATACATAATTTTAATTAGCTAGAATGTTTACTTTAGAAGTAGAAAATATCATCCAAATACCAATCTTATTTCTCCTGGTTTTGTGGTTAAAGTGGAAGATAAGGTTAAATCATCTGCACATTAGCTAAAAAATGAAATTACCAATTAAAATGGAGGGGGAACATAGTAATGATGTGGCATACTGTAAGTATACAGAAAAACAATCATATCTGAAGCATGTAAGTTTGTTCTTCCTTCTAAAGAAGGCATTTTAACAATTGTTAAAATGGATACAGAATACTCCCAGAAATGCTACTTACATATTCTTTAATATCCTTTGATTTTACAGCTTTGTAAGAGTAATAGGCAGGATAAAGAGTGCCAAATATTAGCCTGAAAGAAAAATGAGAAAAAAGGTCAACAGGAAATACTATAGGCTGGAGCCAGAGTATGATGATTACATTTGCTTCTATAAAATCAATAGCATTTATGGTAAAAAAACAACAACATATTGTTCTCTTGATTTTATTGGGATCTAATGAGTGATTTCTTCATTATTTGTTTAAAGTTTCTTTCTGAATGAAATTTCTCAGTTGCTCATACAGAAAAATATAAATTTAAATAACAATTTAAAATCTGCCTTCCCAGTTAAATTACAGATTTACAACAAGATCATGCCTCCCATCTGCCTGAATCACCAGTGCATCTTATCTATTTTTTTCTCTCATTTTTTAAAAAATTATTTTTACAATTTAAATTTTATTTTTTAACATTTATCAAAAATTTACAAAAAAACACAAAATAGAAAAATAGGAAAAGAAATATATGAAAAACAATAAAAATATAGCTACCCAACTTAGCAATAACAATAAAAGAACAACAGATGTGGTTGGACAACCAAAATTACTTCTCACTATTGAAAAGATAAATTAAGGGCCTCAATACTCTTATGATTTGAAACCTGATGTTGTACCCAGTGTATGAGTTACTTATAGATATAGATCAGTGGTGGCTAACTTTTTTGGGCTCCTGTGCCAAAAATTGTGCATGTGCTTGCACGCTTGCGTGCCAGCACCCAGAAGGCAATGCCCCGTGAGCATGTGCGTGCAATCCCCCCCCCTGCATCCCTTTACCTGCACTGTGCCTCTCGGCTGATTTTTGGCCCATTAGAAGCCTTTTTCAGCCTCCCAGAGGCTTGTGGAAAGCTTCTGCAGCCTTTGCAGGCCAAAAAAATAGGCCTGTTTCATCGCTCCCAGTATTTCCGGAAATACATTTAAGGGTAGAACGTTCGCTGCCAAACCTCTTGGGATTGGACTGGTTTGCTTCCCTGGGGCTACGAATCACAGGCATGAACTCCATAAGCGAACCAACCACTACTGACTTAATTGCGGACTTTCCAGAGGTGTCTGATGGAGAGCTGGGAAAGTACAAGGGCACTCCCAAGTCTTTTAACCTTGATCCCCAAGTGGCTCTGATCAGGCTTAAACCAAGAAGAGTGCCTTTTGCACTGAGGCCAAAGATGGATGAACAGCTGGATCAGCTCATTCAGCAAGGCATATTGGAGCCTGACAACCATACCAGATGGGACACACCAATAGTCACCCTGGTCAAGCCAGATGGCTCAGTTACGATATGCGTGGACTACAAGTGCATGTTCAATAAAGCCTTACAGCAAAACGCATATCCAGTGCTGGTGGTGCAGCATTTAGTGCATTTTCTGGGTGAGGGTAAGGTCTTCGCCAAACTATACTTTGCCCAAGCCTACCAGCAACTGCCCATGGATGACGAAGCCCAGATGATTGTGACCCATTGGGGCTTTCCGATGCTGCTGAGTGCTGTTTGGGGTAAGTGTGGTACCGGGACTGTTTCAAAGTCTAAGGGAGCGCCTTTTACAAGGCATTCCAGGCATTGTCCCATACTTTGTTGACGTTTTGGTGTCTGCCACAAATAAAACTGAGTTGCTAGACTGACTGCGAACAGTACTCCAAAGATTTCAAGACGTTGGGCTTAAAATAAAGGAGAAGTGCTAGGTAGCAGTCACCCAGGTCGAGTTCCTAGGATATCTCATAGATGCATCAGGATTGCATCCCACAAAAGAAAAAATCAAAGCAATCCAGGAAGCATTGACCCCGAGGAACAAGACAGAACTCCAAGCGCTCTTGGGACTCCTCAACTTCTGTAGTATATTCTTGTGGCACAAGGAATCCATCGCAGAGCCACTGCACCGACCCTTGGACAAAAAGGCGGCATGGTCATGGGGCCAGAAGGAAGCTGCTGCATTCAAAGGAGTAAAAAACCTGATCTCCTCTGACAGCATTCTTGTTCAATACAGCAAGAGCCTGCCACTGGTACTGTTGAGCAACGCATCACCGTTTGGGGTTGGAGCAGTTCTGAGCCACCACCATGGGAGGCCCTGACAGCATTTTTTTTCAAGGACCCTATTTTCAGTGGAGCAAAACTACAGCCAATTAGCTAAGGAGGCTTTGGCTGTGGTCACCAGGGTCCCACCAGTTCTATCTCTCTAGGGGATGAGGTCCACAACATTCCTTGCCTTCCCCCACTAGTGGGTAGGGTAGATGTGATGGTCCCTCAGATAACCTGGTGCCAAACCATGAAGGGCTTTGAAGGTGACAACCAGCACTTTGAATTATACCCAGAAGCAAATTGGCACACAATTTGCTCCCACAGGAGTTCCCACAGGAAAGGTGAAACATATGCACATTGAGGTCTGTACAAAAGCATGCAGACCACTGCATTTTGCACCAACCGAAGCTCCTGGATGCTTTTCAGGGGCAACCCCATGTAGTATGTTGCAATAGTCAAGATGGGAGGAGACAAAGGCACAAGTGACCAGGAAGGTCCAGGAAGGGGCATAACTGGGGCACAACCTGCAGTTGTGCAACTGTCCTCCTGGCCATGACTACCACCTGCTCTTTGAGCAAGATTCTCAAGTTCAGGAGAACCTCCAGATTATGCACAGGGTCTATTTGGGGCAGTACCACCTATCCAACATGAAAGGTGTCAATTCTCCATGGGCCAAAGAACCCCAAACCCAGAGCCACTTGGTCTTGCCAGAGTTCAGTTTCAACCCATTGCTCCCTATTCAGCCCCTAATGGCCTCCAGGCCTATGAGAGGGAAGTCACGGCATCACTTAACCCACCACGAGCTGAGATATACAGCTGTGTATCATCAGCATATTGGCTGTATTGTTACATATGACATATTGGCAGCATATTGTTACATATGACAATGCCTTGGATGTTTCACACTGGAGAAGCAGGAATAATATTTTCAATGCATGGGCCAGACCTCCAGTGCCTCTTACATACATAGATGATTATTGCATGGGAGAAATGCCCCAACTCTATTTTGTACCATCAAAAAATATAAAACCAGATAAACTTCTATAGGATCTCACAGAAGAGAATGAAGTTTATTTAATTACAAATCTGAGCCCCTTGGAGGGACTGGAAAAAAGAAAATCAAGTACCATATTTTTCGGAGTATAAGACACACTTTTTTCACCCCCAAAAGTGGATAGAAATGTCTGTGCATCTTATACAGGGAATGCTGCCAAAGCCCTGCCCACCCTCTGGCCCACACCCCTTGGCTTCTGTCTCCCAGCCATTGCCTCCTTTCACAAACAGCCTGGTCAGCTTTAGCACAAGCAGCAGGGATATCCGCCGCCCGTAATGGGTGGGAAATGGGGCACGCAGAGGCAGCAATAGGCTATGCCAATCCCTGCAGCCTGAAACAACTGATCATCGGGAGGCTGATCCTACTGACAATCAACTGCTTGTGCTAATCAGGCTGTGCTGAAACTGACCAGGCTGTTTGCTGTTTGCTTCAAGGAGACAAATTGCTCAGAGGCAGAGGCAGATTTCACCCCCTTGTTTTCCTCCCCAAAAGCTAGGTGTGTCTTATACTTTGGAGCGTCTTATACTCCCAAAAATACAGTAAGTAGTTTAGCTTAATTTTCCCAATCTAAAGCATTCCATACGTAACTAAGTGAAACCACCTATCATAATCAGCCAGCATAGTCAGGGCTTGAAGATCTTCCAGGTTCAGTCAAAGACATGCAAAGATAACCTGAATGAAAAATTCTGACCCATATGAGGGAAAAGAGCAGATCATATACAGAAACAGAATACACGAGCAATCCAAACAGGAATCAGGGACCAGAAAACAAAGGTAACCACAGAAAAATAATTCAGGACCATGGACAGATCACACCAAGACAAATGGCATGAAACCTGTATCTATTTGAATTAACCATACAATATAAATAATAATAATAATAATAATTTTGTTCAGGTTCTCCTTTCTTTCTTATTGAGGAATAGAACACCTTAATGATACACAGTAATCTAATGGTTTGTAATTTATATGCACATAAATATAACTTATTTCACTCCTCTGAAACACGCACACAGAATTTCAGAAGTATCCAACATGATTTTTCACTGAAGCTTAATAAAAAGAAAGCAAGGCTATTACAATGCTGACAAAAGCAGGAAAGATGGCTTACACTAGATAGTTGGAAACTCCAAAGACTGTGCCATAATAGGAGGTCCATGTTTTTAATTTAGGCCTACACAGCTACAGTAATTAAAATACAAATTTATTCATTTGAAATTTTACCTTACATAACGTTTACCCCAAACCATCTGAGTTTAAGTCGTCTTATTACTGCAAGTTAGGGTTAAAGTTAATTATTTTGTGCTTCTGTGAGTATTTGCATACCTGAGAAATGCAAAATCATAAACTAATGGTATTACTAAGAATCTCTTATTGCGGGGAAAAGGTTAAGGACAATACAGCAGAATCATTATGGACAACCATGATTAGAAGTTTTTTTATTAAACAATTGAAAATACTGCTAGAGTTGTAACACTTCAATTTATGTTATCCAACTATATTTTCCATTATTATTACCATATTATTGTGTGTTTTCTATTTCTTTGTATTATTTATATTATTATAAATACAGCTTACATTCTGGATGCAAAGTGTCACCAAGCAAAAATACCTTATCAAATTCTTATCCAGTTCAATCACTTTTATGGTTCTAAATGGAAACAAAAAACAGCCTTTTTCCTGCACATGCATAATGTTCCTTGCTGCTGTTAAATCAAAGCCATCTTCCCAGCTTGTTGAATCCTTTGTTCTTTGTTAGTTGCAAAGTTATGTCTGACCCATCGCAACCCCATGGACAATGTTCCTGCAGGCCTTCCTGTCCTCTACCATCTTCTGGAATCCATTTAAGCTCACATCGATTGCTTCAGTGACTCCATCCAGCCACCTCATTCTCTGTCATCCCATTCTTTTTTTGCCCTCAATCGTTTCCAGCATTAGGCTCTTCTCCAATGAGTCCTTCCTTCTCATTAGGTGG